TCAGCAGGACACCTTAGAAGGTCGTTCACATAAAGAAGCATTTTTAGCCCTGCTCTTCGAAAATAGTAAGGTGCTAACCTGTAGCTTGGAGGGAGTGAATAGCTGTGCAATTGGTATCCAGCTATGACTCTCTGTCTGGCCTTAGATAGCTAAGCCAGGTTAGCCCTTTGCTGAAAAGAAAGTAGAAAGAACAGTCCTTTATTGAAAAGACGCTAGCAAGAACTGCTTCCTCTGCAACGGTGCATAGAGCATGTAGCTGGGAAGCAAAAGACTCATTTCCAAATTCCTACTCTACTTGATTTTTGAGCAGAGACATAGATTCAGATCTCCCACAACTCAGGCAAGTATTCCTAACCATCAGAGTTTTGGATATTCTAAAGTGGTTTTATCTTTCTCCTTTAGGTTGAAAGTATTCCATTTGATATAAATAATCAGCTCCTGGACGAGGTATTTGAGCTGCACTTTTTCCTGTGAGAATGCTCTAAACCTCAAAACTGCAGAGCCAGATACTTAGTCCTAGTGGCTACTTAATCATCCATTTGTAATGGAAAAGGTACGAAAGGAGAGACCAAGAGAGATTCTTCCCCAGAATATTCAGCAACCTTGTAACCAGGGACACTTTCCTAGCAGGTGGGAAATGCCCGTAGGTGCTACTGTTTGAAATAGGTAGAGGGAGACTGCAGAATCTTCCACTAGCTCCCATTCTTTGCAGGATAAAATGGGATATTTAGATTTCCTTTCTGGCTTCATCCAGGGGCGAGCTTTGAGAATGCATATTGCTGGGGCCTTCCAGAGAAGACAGGAAAAGCGTTAAGCTGGAGAACGTGAAGATGGCAGATCAGTGGCACCAGGTTTTATGTGTGCATGCTCCATGGCAGAAAGTTAGATACCAGAGGGACTTCAAGCACACTCTAAGTTTAGATGATGAGAGAGTGTTGTTTTGGTACTGAAGTCCTTGTGTAAGCTACACCTTGTTTAGCTTTGAAAATATTTATTCCAAAATGTAGTAACTGTGTTTCAACTGGCATTTGAAGTACACTTGTAGAATATAGTGCATTTGTTTCATTTTAAAGGAGGCATCTGTAAACTATGAATATTTATCCGTAGTTCGATAGATGTTGACAATTTTAAAATAGAGGAACATTTTTTTTTCTCAGATACTGCTGTGCTGATAAGTGTCAATGCTTGAATGACAATGATATTATTCTGTATGAACCTGAATATAGAATATGCAAACCTATCAACCACACATTGTTCCCAGAGCGTTCCACTGTGGTAACACAGGATGCATAGACTACATTTACATGTAGTAACAATGTAGGTTGTGATATCAAAGTGTTAGAAGCATAGATTTGGGATTAGTCCCCAGTGACAAGCCCCAGTTACATCGTGAAAGTCATTCTGAGTGAGTAACTCTGTTTGCCCTCCCAGAGACATACTGTATAACACCTTTATATTACCGTGTTTATATATATATCACTGCTTACTAAAATATATTCTTTGCACTGCCTGATATTTCAGTTATGGGGGTAATTTTTACAAAGACATTAGAGTTAGTAAATGGAAAGTTAGGAAGAAACAACTCACAGGCTGTCCAGGTTCATCTCCTCCCAGGATTCGGAAGCCAAAACCAGACTCCATCCTCCGAAGGTGAACATCCAGCTCCTTGTAATCAGGACCTGGTTTAAAGGGAAATCCCACTGAGCGATGCATTTTTGTTTTGTCCAGACAATTTGTGCCATCTTCCCTCCCCGCTTCTGCTCATTGCAAATGGCTAATGGCAGTCTGTTTAGAGCCGGTGGAAACAAATGGAACACAACGTGCTGTACACGGACGGAAGACACTTGAAAATGTAGGTATCTTGGAAGATGATTATGTTCAGTAAAATATACTAAACCCAAACTAGAACACATTCATAGGAGAACAGTACTGGAAAATTCTGTCCAAAATGAGGTTATAATGATGCCTTCTTTCTAAGACCGACAGCATAATATTTTGCTGTTCAGCCATCTCTGGCATTTAATTTGTACTTTCCTTGCTGTCCATTAAGACCTAAAGAGAATAAACTGAAATGGGAGATAAAGATACATAGAAAATTAAACAGTCCAACTTAGAGAAGATGAATAATCATCACAGAACATTTTTAGTTCCATATTCAAGTATAAAACAGTATATCTTTTATATAATGTAGCTTTTCAGTACTCCACTGTCAGGTAATACCTTCAATAAAGAGTTTTGAGGAAAGCTAGCATTATAAGCCTCTGAGTCCCAGGGTTTAAACTGAAAGCTAACATCATTGACTTGAACTCCTTAATGCTACCCAATTAAAGTCTCAACAGCTTTATGAATCATTACAATTATGCTTCCATGTGCTTGCAAAACTTGCCTGTAAACATATATTCTGCTCTGGATTGTCTCAGTTCAGGAATGTAGTGCTATTTAACAATGAGCTACTTATAAAAGTCCAGAGCAGTCTTTTGTACAAATTGCACTCTGGTCTATAAATTGTGACAACGCTTTTGGCCAGTGCCAGCATTTTGTCAGCCTCAAAGATAGGAAGGGGTGAGCAGGTTTATTTCACCAAACTCTTCATGATGTCTCCAATTGTGCCTGGTTTCCCTAGGAGGGTAGGGATTACAGATGGCTGAAATATGGCACTTCAGCAACTCTCATTTACAAAACCCCCATCAGAGCAGTCAGTGGATGCTTTGCAAACTATAGTTTGGAGGATCCGTCTCGACTGATGAGCTCTGGTGACTGCTGTCTCTTTCCCACGTTTTAAGGTGATGTGTGCGGCATGCTGGGCAATGCTAATGGCGAGGAGGGCGCAGCCTTTGGATGCTGCTCAGTGGATCTGAGCCAGAGCGTGATCCCCTTCCGCTCATATCTGAACCACTGATTCAGTCCGAGGCAGGTCTTGCAAAGAAAGCAACACAGAACTACCTACAGCAGGTCTATCCTACCACTGTGCCATAAAAACTCTCTCTAGATTGCCATGACAGCATGTTATGGAGGCCTGCACGCTGTTTCAGAAATGCATATTGATATTAGAGTGAAACTGAACCTGCCTCAAATGTCTCAGTTGGTAAAATAAAAGTATTATCTTTCACTACTAACTTGCCTCTCGTATGTTTAGACAACAAACCAACTCCTAAGAGCTTATTATACTGACTTTTTCAATTTATTTGACAAACGTTTCGGCAGTCAATAAAAGAGCAAATTAAGTCTGCGTATGAATGATATATTAACTTAATGCAAAGGTTGTTTCACAGTTGTCAGAGGCAAAGGAATTTTAGAATGAAAACAATACTCTATCCTTACCTGATTTGTTTTGCCTAATTTGTTTGTGTAACAAGGATGGGGTTAATACTAGGGAGAGGACCTCGTAGATAGACACAGTAGGATCAGCATTCATACCCCAGCTCTAACATTCAAAGGCATTGTTTCCAGCGATCTGCCACATACCAAGCACTACCTTTATTTATGCAAACGTGAATGAATATGCACAGTCAGGAATACATTAATAAAAGTATAAGAATGTAAGGTTGCAAAGGATGCATGCTCTGGCACACTGAGACTAAAACTTTACACAGCTGATCCAAACCAATTTTGGTACTAGACTCCAAGATAAGAGGCATTCTTTTTTATTTAAATGAGGCTCTCTTTCCACCCTTTTAGAATGGAAAAGGTGAGCTAGGCTGACCATGAACAGGTTTAGGCTAAAAATATCATATGCGGGCACACTTTTCCTTTTTGTGAGCTCAACACATTTTAGAAGCTTTTGGATTAACTGACTATGGCAATCGCCCTCGCTCAGAAGAGCCTTCCTTCCCAGAGAGCTGGAAGTCTATAGAGCCCATTAGCTGTCAACTCTTCCCAGGCCACTAAAACCTGCTTTTAAAAAAAATATTCTTTTTTGTCCCGCCAGGCAGTAGAAACACAGGACTGGAAAGGATCCCTGGGTCATCCAGTCCAGCTCCGTGTTATTGCAAGCAAACGACAGAGAGACCTTACCAGGAAAGACCTGGACAAAGAAGACACTTGGCAATTGAGCCTTTTTGTGGCCTTTGTCACTAGGTCACCTTCCTCATTCAGCACTCTTATTACACCCCATGACTATATTTGCCTTTTCACTGCAATTATCACACTATCTCCTGCAATTGATTTCTATATTTAAGAGCATTTCCTCCACTGCTGCTTCCAGTTGTTTCAATTTTCATGCTAGGCAGGATGACAGGACTCCACTGACTGCCCTGACTAGCTTTCCATTGAACTGGAGATAACTAAACCCCAGACACCTGAAGTTACATGTCTGAATCTGGACCCGATTTCCACCCTTACTTTTTGTGCTTAGGTCATTAATGAAAATAATACAGAAGATTAATTTCAAGGCTTTCCACTAATATCGTTCCTTCAGTCTATGAATTGTTCTTTTAGTGTAATTGCTTTTAGCTGTTTTCCAGCCATTCCTGTTTACATTCTGTTCTAAGCACTACCTGCTTCAGGCTAGCATGAAAGAGTATCAGTTGTAATTGGTTTTTGTAAAATGTCTAAGTGAAGTTTAGATTGATTAAATATGTATCACTTGTTTGGTGCAAAAAAATCAGTTACCAGGTTAGTCTGACACAACCTACTTTTTGTAAACTTCTTTTGCATTAGATCTCAGTTTATCTCCATATCCATAGTTAGTCTTTACTTTAAAATGTGTTCTAAAGTCTTGTTGACTATTGAATCCATTTTTTCTCCTTTCTTCAACATAGGTAAGATGTTCACTAATAGCGTGTTCTTACTACAGCAACTCAGGCTTGATAGATTCATTAAAAATCCTCACTACCGTATGCCAATGCTTTCAGTATTCCTGAATGTACATTAATCAAGTACTCTCTCCCATGGAAGTGATTACATTTTATCTCTGATGTTTCTTCACTGCTTACTTCTCTACGATTCTGGTGCTTTTTTCCCCCTCAAAGGATTATTAGATAAATTCTAAATTTTGCCTCTTCTTGCTGGAACAGATTTTCGATTGATCATAGGCACAAAGTAAATTGCCTTCACTTACGGACAAATGACACTTCTGTGCCTTGCAATATACTGCAAACTGTTGGTTAATATGACTTCGTTATGGAAAATGCATCTTTTCTTTCTCTTGCTGTAAGCTAGATTGGTACCCTGCAGTTCATGCCAAGTAAGAACAAATAAACAGGTTTGCAGACATGGGAGTCAAGCCAAGACTGAATTAATATAGTCTTCTTATTGGCACAGTTTACTTTGTCAGCTTAGCTCACCTAAATGTCCCATCTCCAAACAGTTTCATCAAAAGGGGAGTTGCAGCTTAAAGTCAATATTTCTTCTGGAGGGCCTGATTTTAGAATATAGGTATCCTGTGCAAGAATAACAGTGTTCCCTGCTCTCCCTTACTTCTCTGCACAGGTGTATTAGAAAATGAACAGTAGATTTCACTGTTTGTAAGTTAAGTGTCTTTGCTACAGTTATAGTATTTTGTCTGGTTTTTTTTTTGTGTAAAAGGAAACTTAATGGAGCATTTGGCCTAGAAGAGACAAAATCAATTCACTTTGTGAGGTTATAAAAGCAGCTGGATCCCCCATGAATTTGAGAATACAATTGGACAAGCAGTGATCTTATCACTGCTGCACAGCGAGGGTGTGAAAGAGCATCGGGAAATTCCGCTTTCTGGTTCATGGAAGAAAGGAAATTTGCTTTAAATGTAAAGACACCAGAATATATTGTTACTGAATAATAGTGAGATGTTATAGGTGCAGATGTGATTATCAGCTCTCAGTTACATTTCTGTACTGTATTCATTTAAATTCCTACATGAATTACACATTGATAAGTGCACCTGCAGTTGCTTCTTAAATGTATGTAGAGAAAATAGGTTATTGAACATAATTAATTCATTTTATGGATGATTCAAGTCTCACAAGTGCTGAGTGATTTTTATAGAGATAAACCTGTTATTTGGGATGATGATATAAATGCTGAGACTGATTTTTTTTTTTTATTAAATGTCTTCTATGTTGCAATTAAAACAAGGATGCAGAGCTTTGTTATAAGAATTTTACAGTCTTTCTGGGTTTCCTCAACCCTCCTGCTAAAAATAAGAGTTATTTTGGACTCCTTTGCTGGAGCTGATGAGGATTTTTATTAAGTATAGATCATTACCATGAATGGTGATTAACACAAATCTACAATAACTTTTTAAATTGAGCTTCAGATGCTCTTGAACGATGTGTAAAGCTTGAAAACAATCAAGGGTCAGCTGATTTCCAACACTAGTAGCTTTTTAAAAAAAATACATATTTCCTTTTGATATTTATAGAGCTGGTAAATACAGACTCCAGTATAGAAATGAGCAAGTTAAAAAAAAAAAAAAAGGAAATTGGCATGCTAACAGAGGTATTCAACCTATACACCCTAACAGGACATGCAAAACCAGCCCAAGCCTGTATTTAATTTAGGAGCCTGTCCAAGCTGTGTAGGACTAGAGAAGTCTTTAATGGGTCTTTAATGCATCGGAGCAAGGGATGGGTGGGTCGGCATAACACGTCAATTCTGCTCTTTTGCAACTGAAGATAGGATTAATTTCATTTTTTTCACTGCAAAACAATGCTTAAACTAAGTTTTGGGCATGAGCTATAGAGAAATATGTTTTATGTTG